CGCGCGCGTCAAGGCCGAGCCCCCCGACGGCGACCCCGGCGCCTACGGCCGCGCCGGCCCAATGCTGGGCGCTCCCGAATCGCCACCGCTCAGTCCCGCCGGGATCCCCTTCGTGCCGCCCTTCGCCGCGCCCGGTTTCCCCGCGCCCCCCGCGCACCCCGGGCTGCGCTTCCCGCCCGCGCCTGCCGGCTTCGCGCGCTTCGAGGACGCGGCCGCTGCGCTGCGCCTGGGCCCCGCGCCCCGCGCCCCACTCACGCCGCCCGCATCGCCGCTCGAGCTGCTGGACGCCAAGCCCAAGCGCGGCCGCCGGGCCTGGCCCCGCAAGCGCAGCGCCACGCACACCTGCAGCTACGCGGGCTGCGGCAAGACCTACACCAAGAGTTCGCACCTGAAGGCACACCTGCGCACACACACAGGTGGGCGGGGCGCGGGCGGGGGACGCGGGGCGGCCGGGGGCGCGGGCTCCGCACCCGGACTCCGCGCGCTCATGCCGCCCCTCCGCAGGCGAGAAGCCCTACCACTGCAACTGGGACGGCTGCGGCTGGAAGTTCGCGCGCTCGGACGAGCTTACGCGCCACTACCGCAAGCACACGGGCCACCGGCCTTTCCAGTGCCACCTGTGTGACCGCGCCTTCTCGCGCTCCGACCACCTGGCTCTGCACATGAAGCGGCACCTGTAGCCCCGGGCCGGGGCTCATGCACCCGGGCGCGGCGGTGGCAGGTCCCACGCTTCTGCCCTCCCAAGCTGACTGGTATTTATTAGACCCCAAGGACCAAGCTGGCTGTGTGGCCTCGGAGGGGTCGCCCTCTTCCCCGCTGACGACGGCGCTCCGCTGGGCCAGCCTCATCTGTGACTGGAGCCCCTCAGGGGCGGACGCGACCCTCTTGACGAGTTTTGTTTTCAAAATGGTGCAATAATTCCGTGTCGCTTCCTGGGACGGGTCTACACTAGAGGACTGGGGACAGCGGCCCCTGTTTGTACTGTCTGAAACGTTTTATAATATTGTACATAGTGACTGTGACATAGTATTGTATTACTGTAAATACTGAGACGTGGGCGTTATGAACGCCCTGCTTTTTTTTTTTTTTTTTTTAATAAGACTTGCTGTTTTTTAATTAAAACATTTGCATCTTTTGAAAAAAAATCACAGCATTGGTGGTGCCCTTAGGGCTGTGGATGTCGAGAGGTGAGCTTGGGGCCACCCAGCAGGACAGCGCCGGGCTGTCAGGAACTTGTGGCTTTTGTAAATTTAAACACTGCACTTGTGGCGCGGGCTGGTTATTTTAAGTTTGTCCCTAGAGCCTTAAAAGTTGCCTCTTGCCCAGAGCTGGGGACGGCCAGTTACACGGCTGTGGCCTTGGCCAGGCTGGAAAAAGCTCTTTCTGGAAGGCTGAGGTCTTAGCCAAACCTGTGCAGAATGCAAGCTTTTTATTTGAAGGGCCAAAGTGCTGACGCTGGGCCTCACTCGAGCAAGGCTTGGTCTGGTGAGCCCTGGGGCTGCGAGGAGCCAGCAGGCGCCTGGCCCGTCCTGTCCAGTGCTGCGGGTGGTTCCTGAGGGCCGGGAGCTGCACCAGGCCTGCGCAGTCAGAGTCACTCCTTGGCCACAGAATGCACGGCAGCCTGGGGGGCTGCGACGGCTTCTGTGGCAACCAGCCCCGGGGCTGCTGGCCCCAGCTTCCCTGCACCCTCTGCCCTTTGGGGGCCCCAGGCGTCAGTGGCCACTCACAGTTGCACAAGTTGTTTTCAGAAAGTGAAAATGGCCTGTGCGCAAAGCCCATGTTGAAACACTGGCCGCGGGCTTGCAACACTGCGGGCCCTCCTGCTTCTCGGCTTCTGCCCCCGGCTGGAAACAGCTGGGTGCTGTGCGAATCCAGCCCGGGAAAGCAGAAGCTCCGCAGTCCGACGAATCTCGACCTCCTTTCGAATCACCAAGAGCTTCCACCGACAGCAGTGTGACTTAGGCGTGCCAGCCCAGCCCGTGCCAGCTGCAGAAAGACGTGACAGTGGCCCACAGCCCACCGGGATGCCCCCCTCCTGCCAGGTGGAGAGGAAGGTCCCAGGAAGTTTGTTGCTTTTGGGGTCTTTTTTATTTATGTATTCTGCATGGCGTTTCACTGCACAGTTTGGACTCATAGTGATCCTGTTTGCAGCCTCACCAGCGCTGGGATTACAGGTGTGTGCTACCAGGCCCAGGGTCACCGGCTCAGCACGCCCCCTGGGGGCCGGGGCTGGCACAGCAAGCAGGACTGGGGATCAAATCCTGGTCCCTGAGCGTGCCAAAGCAGGCACTTTGTCTCCTGAGCTATCTCGCTGGCCCCTTTTTGGGTCTTTTTCTTTTCTTTTTTTTGCGGAACCAGGGATTGAACTCAGGCCCTTTTGCCTGCCAGGCAAGTGCTTATCTAATGAGCTATCTCCCTGGCCCCTGGGTCTTTTTTGAGGCAGGGCCTCACTGCAGTCCCTGCTGCCCTTGAACTCAGCGATCCTCCTGCCTCGGCTTCTTGAGTGCTGGGCTACAGGCGTGGGCCACCGTGGCAGTGCCCCTCCTCCTCCCATGTTTGAGATCAGCTGCTCGGATCGCCACCCTTCCTTCAGCTGCAGCGGGAAGCTCAGCGCGGAGCTGCACAGCAGGCTGAGGCTGCTGGATTTCTGTTTGCCTCTCAGGGCCCAGGGCTCACCAGCATGGCCCCTAGGTAGCTTCCCGCCCCTCCTGGACACCACAAGGCCAGTATGAGGGCCTTGGTCAGCAAAGGAGAGGCCTGGAGGCAGGTATCACCCAGAGAAAGAGGCACAAGCTTCACCTTGCATCTCCTGCCTGGCCCATGCCTGCTCGTGCCCTCTCTTGGGCTGTGGTTTGTGGCTGAGTTGCTTCACAGGCAGGGCCATGATTAGCACTTGGTCCTCAAAGTGATACACATCACTTTGAACTCTCAGTGATCCTCCTGCCTCTGCCTCCTGAGTGCTGAGACTACAGGCACGCACCACCACCTCAGATGACGCAGGTTTTCCATAACTGTTCCCCGTGCTGTGGTTTATGGCTGTGTTCATGGCTCCAGGATATTCTATAGATAGGCCAGGAAGCTGTTGGTCAGTGGTGGAGGTGGAGCTGCGCAGGTCTATGCAGGTGACATGGCGCTTTTAGAGGGGCTCCAAGCACCCTTGCAGTTTGGTGTCTAAGGACTGCACTTGGGCTTGTCCCGGGCAGTGGGCGCAGGGATGGGGGGGTTTGCTGCTGCCAGAGGAGTGTAGCGAAGGCACATGAGGGTCTGTGTTTCCTGCAGGCGCTCCTGTGTGCATGTGTGGGGGGACGCGGTGGTGCTAGGGGCAAGAGGCCTTGATCTCCAGACTCAGCCTGCTCCATAGCCAGGGTGCCCTAGTGTTGTGCCGTGGCTTGCGGCACCCATCCCTCCCAGTCCATCTAGCAGTCCTCCCCCTCAGGCCAGCCCAGCCAAGCAACCCCCAAGTCGCCACTGTCTCCCGTAGATGTGGCAGGCAGGGACGAAGGCCCCAGAAAGTAGACCACTCAGCTGCCTCCTTCTCTGGTTTGCATTTGGAGACCAGCAGGGATAGAACTTGGAATCTTCCTGCCCCAGCCTCCAGGAGTGCTGGGCCACCACATCCGCCCCCGGTGCCCTGGGCTCGTCTTTCTGGCCCCCAGCGAGGCTCCCTCAAGCTCCCAGCATCATGGTCTTCCCATCTCTCATTTCCGGCTTCCTGTGCCCCAGTCACTGGGCTGTCCCTGGCTAGCCCTGAGGAGTAGAGCACAGTGCACAGCTGTCCTGTACGCCCCACCCCCCAGCACCTGGACCCTGTCACCACCCCATGGTCAAGGGGAAGCAGGACCCTACCCAGGTCCACCCAGGCCGGGCCACACTTCCTGCCCTGGAGATCTGGGCTGGGGAACCCGGTACAGTGAAGCTCGCCCTGTTCCTGCCCAGAGGACACTAAGCCCAGGGCCTCTCCCCCACAGCCCTGCCACAGGCCAGGGCTTCCATCCGAGGAACACTGAGGCTTTCCCTTACCCTGCACACAGGCTGGGCTCTAGCCAACCCTACCACCCACCACCCCCAGAGCCACCTCACGGCCCCCACATCCCCTCCTGCTTCCCAGCCCTTGAAGCTTTCCTTGGATCAGAGCCCTGCAATCTCTGCTCCATGCAGCTGCCTCAGTTTCCCCAAATGAATGACTCCAAGCTTCATCCACACCATCGCCAGTGTCAAGATGCCCTCCTTTTCATGGCCCAGTAATATCCCACAGGGTAGCTGCACAAAGCTGTGTGGCTTTACTGTCCTTTGATGTGGACAACGTGGCTACAGCCAGGGGCACAGATGTCTGCTTAGGCCTTCGCCTTTTTTTTAAGAAATTGACTTGGTTTTATTATTCATTTATTTTTATTTCTTTGGCAGAACTAGGGATTGAACTTAGGCCCTTGCACTTGCCAGGCAAGTGCTTATTCTACTGAGCTATCACCCCAGCTCTTGCCTTTGGTTTTTGGGGTGTAGACCCAGGGTGGTATTGTGGAGCCCCTCATTTTCTCTTTTTACCCTCATGATGCTGGGTCCAGAACCATCCAGCTCCGCTCCATCTCCCCAGGCCCCTTGTCACTGGGCAGCCCTGGGAGGCTGAGGCAGGCACATCTCTGAGGATGCAGAGCGCTTGGATTCGCACCAGGGCCTTGGCTCAGCACATCAGCCACACTGTAGGCCCGTTTCCTCTTCTCCGAAATGGGGCTGACAGCAGAGGCCAGAACTAGGCCGGCGGGAAGCCAGGCTTTCACAGTGTGGGCTGCAGAAGGTGGGTGGGCGGAGGCAGGGGGCACAAGCCGTAGGGCACTGACCACTCCCCTCCCAGCACAGGGGCAGCCCAGGCACAGATGTCCAGTCCCCATGCACCCCACCCGGAGCCGAAGACTCAGGTCCCCTGGGCCGGTCGGTGACCAGAGTGCCCCGCCAGTTGGCGCGTGGCCCAAGGCAGGGACAGCCCGGCTTGCACAAAGAGTGCCTCACACTCCAGGAGAGACACTGAAAAGCAAGGCGATGACTGCAAGTGTCCTCACTGCGGCAGAGCAGGGAGCCCCGCAGGAAGGCTGAGGCAGCAGGGCTGTGGGCCAGCCAGCCCGCCTGGGCAGGACGGGCACCAGGGGCTGAGCCGCCTGGCCTGTGGCGGCTAGCGGATGTGCTCCTATGCAGAGAACAGGGGACACAGCGAACCAGTTTGGAGGCTGGGGCCTGACCCAGGTCTGTGGCTGGCGGGGTGTCCACTCTGTCCCCTGGGACCTGGGTGCTCCCTGGGGCCCGAGGTGAGGCCTGGGATGCCCCGGTGGTTCTTGGGGACTGCCCCAAGCAGAAGGCACCGGGACAGCACTTTTTCTGGAGGGCTGTGGTGATATCCCGCCTTGGCGGGCACGCTCTGAGTCATTGAGGTTGTCACAGGAAGAGCTGCTCATCTCAGGAGGTGATGGCCGCTCCCACGGCCTTAGGCAGGGCGATCCCGAGACCTGGGGACACGAGTCAGAGACACCAGGGGCCGGGGCCTGCTCTAGGTTGGCCCCTGTCCTCTGGGATGGCCAGCAGGGTCGCTGTGCTTGGTGCCCAGTGGGTGCTCAGTAATGACACGCAGCACCAGAAGCAGAGTGAGGCTGCCCACTGGCAGCGGCCCGCGACAGGTTGAGGAGGCACCAGTGCTGCAGCCACACCCCACCTGGCCAGCCCAGCCTTGCCCATCTGCAGTCGCCCAGCCCGGATGCAAAGGCTTCAGAGCCCCGCTGCACACCTGTGGCCCTAGCTACTCAGGAGTTTGGGGCCAGCCAGGGCAACACAGCAAGCCCCAGTCTCTAAAAGAAGAGAAGGGCCGGCCAGATAGCTCAGAGGATTAAAACACCTGCTTAGGCAGGTGCACGAACGAAGGTTCCATCCCCACTGTGTGCCGGGTCAGCCCCGCCCCCGGGACACACTGAGACCACAACTGACACTGGGCGTGGTGGCGCGTGCTTATAATCCCAGCACTTGGGAGGCTGAAAACAGGAGGATCACTACAAGTCTGATCTGTGTAGTGAGACCCTGGAGACCTTGTACAGAAGGAGGAGGAGGAGGA